TTTATCATCTATAACTTATCATTTATCATTTATCATTAGTAACTTGTAATTTATCTTTCATTATTTATAATTCATGATTCACATTTTAGGTCTTTGGTGACATGCACTATTTAAATAAATGAGTTATATTTTTTTTCATTTATCCCTAATAAAAAATAACCATAAACGAACGATAACCCAAATCATTGAACTATTCCACAAATGGTTTGGATGATACCCAGAACACGTCGTTAAGCAAATTAACCATACAATTTTTATTAGGGATGGCTTATAATTTACCATTTAATAATTATAATGTATCATTTATCTTTTGTTTTATCTTCTATCATTCAACATTCATAACATTCATCATTCATCACATTCATTATTCATCACTCATCACATTCATCATTCATTACATTCATCATTCATCACATTCATCATTCATCACATTCATCATTCATCACATTCATCATTCATCACATTCATCATTCATTACATTCATCATTCATCACATTCATCATTCATCACATTCATCATTCATCACATTCATCATTCATCACATTCATCATTCATCACATTCATCATTCATCACATTCATCATTCATCACATTCATCATTCATCACTTTCATCATTCATCACATTCATCATTCATCACATTCATCATTCATCACATTCATCATTCATCACATTCATCATTCATCACATTCATCATTCATCACATTCATCATTCATCACATTCATCATTCATCACATTCATCATTCATCACATTCATCATTCATTACATTCATCATTCATCACATTCATCATTCATCATTCATCACATTCATCATTCATCACATTCATCATTCATCACATTCATCATTCATCACATTCATCATTCATCACATTCATCATTCATCACATTCATCATTCATCACATTCATCATTCATCACATTCATCATTCATCACATTCATCATTCACCACATTCATCATTTATCACATTCATCATTCATCACATTCATCATTCATCACATTCATCATTCATCACATTCATCATTCATCACATTCATCATTCATCACATTCATCATTCATCATTCATCACATTAATCATTCATCACATTCATCATTCATTGTATTGATCATTCATCACATTCATCATATTCATCATTAATCATTCATCACACCAATCATTCACCACATTATTAATTCATCACATTGATCATTCGTCAACTTCATCATTCATCACAATAATAATTCACCACATTCATCATTCGTTGTTCATCATTCATTATTTATCATTTATCATTTAGCATTTATTATTTTTTATTAATCGCTCATCATTTAGCTTTTATCTGTTATTATTCATCAATTATGATTATTCATTTATCATTGCTCATTTATCACTTAAAACTGATCATTTATCGTTTATATTTTATCATTTATTATTCATTATTCATAATTTAGCAATAATAATATTCATTTCTCATACACCGTTAATCATGTATAACTTAAAATTTACCATGCAACTTATACATTTTATCATTCATCAATTGACTTGGCTTGGATGATAAAATACTATTAATTAAAATGTCGGGAACAACATGTTATTATATCAAGTAAAATGTTGTATATACATCAAATCAAATAAATCATTCATCATTAATCATCCATCATTCATCTATCATCATTTGTCATACATCATTTATTATTCATCATTCATCGGTCATCAATCAATCATTTATCATTCAGCATTCAGCATTCATCATTCATAATTCAACATTAATCATTTAATCATAATTTATCATTAATCATTTCTCATTGATAATTTGAATTGATCATTCATTATTTATCATTTACCATTCAAAACTTATCATTTACCATTTAGCATTTTTTTTTAATCTTTATCTTTTATCATTCATTATTTTTTTTTCTTTATTAAAGAGATTTTAAGTCATAGGCTAGTTCATCTCTTAAATTATCATTCATTAGTCATAGCTCATAATTCATCATTAATAATTTATAATTTATCATTCATTATTTATCATACCATTCATCATCATGTATCTTCATGATTTTTGTTTTGTTTTGTATTATAGTTTATTTAAAATGTTTTAAGTCATTCGTAACATGTCTGAGGATGAAATCTGGAATCGAAACCTTTGGAGTGAGAGGCTTGGATGATGAAATATTTTCAATGAAAATATTTTTATTCATAAAATGTCGCCAATAAAATGGCATTTTAAAAAAAATTATCAAATAATTAAAAAATTTAATCATTTATCATTTATTATTTATCATTTATCATTTATAATTTATAATTTATCATTTATCATTTATCATTTATCATTTATCATTTATCATTTACCATTTATCATTTATCATCATTTATCATTTATCATCATTTATCATTTATCATCATTTATCATTTATCATTTATCATTTATCATTTATAAATTGTAATTAATCATTTATCATTTATAAATAATAATTTCTCATCTAGCAAAATGATTTATTTATTATTTCTCACTTAATATTTATAATTTATCATTTATCATTCATAATTCATAATTCATCATTTATCATATAATTTATCATGTATCTTCGATATTTTTTTGTATTATTCAGAAAGGCCCCGATTTTGTCAACCCCCCTTATTGAAAATCATTTTTAATAATCTTCGAAACCCCTGCACTTTTTTGGCAAAATTGTTCAGGAGATCGTAACTTTGTGGCTGTAGTTCTGAATTTTCCCACTACATAGCGCTGGTATACATGTGAAATTCGAGACTAGATAGATCGAGATCCTGACTTGATAGAAAGTTGCTGTCTTCGGCAAAGTTGTTCAGAAGGTTAAAGTTTTTGTAATGTAATTTTAAAGTAATGTCTGTAACCTTTGTCAGGAACGTTTGGGATCTCAGCCGGGAATATCTCGAATCCAAGTTTGGGAACGTTTGAAATCTCCATCGAGACCGTCTGAAACCTTCATCGGGAACGACTGGAATCTCCGTTCAGGATGTCTCGAAATCAAGATTGTAAAACTTACAATCATCGTTGAAAACGTTTGTAATCTCTGTCGGGAACGTTTGGAATCCATGTAAGGAACATCTAAAAATTCCGTCGGTGAAATCTAGGATCCAAGACGAAAACTTTAGAAATCTTCGTAGGGAGCATTTGGAACCAGAGTCAGGAGCGTCTGGATTCTCCTATCAGAAAATCTTACAATCAAGTCGGAAACGGCTAGAATCTCCATCGGGGACATCTGGAAGCAATTTCGGGAATGTCTTAAATTTATGTTAGAAACGGCAGGAGTTCAAGTCGGGAACGTCTTGAATCTTCATCGAGAACGTCTGGAATTTCCGTCGGGATGGTCTGGAATTATATTCGGCAACGTCTCCAACTCAGTACGTCTTGAAACCTCTTTAGAATAATCGTTGAAAACGTTTGGAATATTTACCGGGAACGTCTGGAATACGTGTCGGGAATGTCTTAAATCCGCCGGGATTGAACCCAGGCCTGCTCGGGTGAGAGATAATCACGCCGCTAGACGAACTTGAGGATAAGGTTTTGTTGAATGATGAATTTTGTTGGACTTAAAATTATGTTTAAATATAAATTATCTTGACTTCTGAATTTTGTTGAACTTCACATAATACTGAATTTTAAATATTGCTAAAAATTTTAAATTGATTGATTTCTAACTTTCGAATGTTGAAATTTTATTCGACCGATTCGCCCACCGTGCACCGTCGGAAACACCAGAAAACCCAACAGTTCACTTGCCAGTTAAGGCAAACCGCTTCTCGAAACCTGACAGCACTAGCCCAAAATTTCCACCCTCAACCCCAACCAACAGCGAGACGAGCCAAAACCCTCCCCGACGAGAAAGTATACAACTTCTGGGGAAATCGGTTTTGTTGCGCACAAACACTAATTTTCCTTCCGCCGTTCCCACCGGTTCCTTCCCCCCCCCAGCTGGCGCTCCACCTATCCATGTCAATTTTCACCCAGCCTGTTGTCATTCCTTCCTCTCATACCGAAGAAGCCGAGAAGGTGGGTAAAATTTGCTGCCAGTTCCGGAGAGAGAGAGAAAACTATACTGCACACCATGGCACGTCGTCGGAACGAGCGCAATTAAGCAAATACATTCCGCACCGACCTCAATCACCCGGCGGTCCCCGGTGGATTTTCCCGTTCCCACATTCGAATTCCGTGGGATCGGAAGAAGTCGACTTTCGGTTACGGGACGAGCCCCATTCCCTCGACACTCAAAAGGATGTCCTTTTTGGTGAGAGTGAGAGCGAGAGCCCGAGAGCGAGAAAGGAAACAGCTCAAACGAGTTCATGATTTTCCTACTTTTCATGCTTTCACAGCTATTACTGTTATTTTAATTTAATAACCCTCGCTTCGCTTGCACTTTGTCCTGTTCACCTTCTGCCGGGTCGGTCGGTTGGTTGGTAGCTCGATTTTGAAATGTGCGAAGAGTGGAGGGGTGTTTTCTGTTTGGGTGCTTCTGAATGCTTGAGAATGCCATCGCCACCCACTCTGACCTGATCAGGCCGGCTGCCGGTGCTGGATGGGAGCAATTTGAGCGCTGTTTCTTGTCGTGTTGAACGGGGCGTGGCAGTGTTGCCAGTTTTTCGATATGGGTAATTTCTGAGCTGATGGCGCGCTTTGGCAGGGGTGTTTGGGAGCCTGGTTTCTTCGTCACGCTAAATCACGATAAGAGGGGAACGCGAAGAAACATTTTCCTGTGATCCGTCGGTCGTTACCGCAACGAGTTGCTTGCGGGAGGAGGTGCGGAGAGTTTGTCTTTTCGTGCTATGACATTTATTTAATTTTATGTGATTATCTTATTTACAACGGGAAACAGTGCGAGTTTGGGGCAAGGTCCACGCGATGGTTGTAGTATCGTGTTGGCGTGCTTGGTAAGGGGAGAAGTTGTTGCGTCGTTTATGCCGAGGACCAATATTCATTTGGAAACCGGCTCAGAACGAACAGGACTGGCTAAATTGGATGATTAATGGAATTGACTTACCTGTTTGTGCATTTCTACGTTCAGGCCGTACGACATTTCGTAATACTGGAATGAAAAGAAGGAGAAAATCACATTTTAGGACGAAATAGAAACAGTTTACAGAAGTATTCAATTCAAGCTGAAAATTTAGGAATCGTCAAACAAACACAACAAACGAACCACTTGAAGTCCTTGTTCTATTGTCACCGCAACCAGAATCGTATCCCAGCGCAGCGGAAATCATTCACAGCTAGTGTTTTGAATTCCTTGTGATCTCAAAAGCAACGGAAAAATAATGAATGGTTCCAGCAGCAGTCGAACTTCAATCATGAAAAGCCAGCAGCTTTCCGACAAAAACTACCTCCCTGCTATCTCTACGGTGCGCGCGATACGACGTATGTTTGCCCTCCCCTCAAATGTTGGAGTATGGGGATTTGACTCACGTCGTCGGTCGTCGTCGTTCTGTACCCGGTACGGGTTTGATTTGAATACCAGAACATCCTCTTGCATCCTCGATTCCCCGCCCCGTTTTGGTTTGGAAATTTTCTACCACTTCACTGATCTCATCCGTACGGGAGGACCTGCTGCTGCTGGTGCTGTTGTTGTTAGTGCTCAAATGGGTGGGGCGTGGTGTGGTTAAACGAAAGTTTAACCCCTTTTCGGGCCCATCTCGGAAATATGTACGATATCTGCTGGACGGCTACTGTGCGGTTGCGGATGGATGATGGAGCACTGTGTATGTGGGATGGTAAATGAAATGAAAATTTTACCTTTCCCCTTGCGTTGTTGGTTAGGATGTGCCTTTTCAGGGTACGAGACGTGAGAAGGGTTTGAGGACGTGTCGGGTTTTTCCGAAGCAGATTGCCATGAATTTCAGTTGCGATGCGTTAATAAATGGAATGCGAAGAGCAGTCAGTCAACTACATTCAATAAAGACTGCGCTAAAAAAAATGCAACACTTTCTTCGGTAAATAACTTTTTATTGCATGGGTAATTGTTAATTGATGAAATTTTGAGTAATACTAGTTTGAAGTGTAATGTTTACATGTGAAAAATCTAATCACAATCTGTCAAGTAGTTGTCGAGATGGCTTCCAAGCAAGAAGTGCTTCGACATAAAATTATGGGAGCGGTCGTGGAAAATCCAGGCCAGTCCCACAGGTGGATCGCCGTGTCCCTTGTGATAAAACCGTTCAAGGAGACTCAGACGACCCAGCGGCGAGCTGGCAGCGGAAGAAAAGCGAAGACGACCGACCCCGTGAACGCAAGGAAGGTGAGAGACTACTTCAAGCGCAATCCGAACCTTTTGATTCGGGACGTGGCCAAGAAGCACAAATCTTCTGTCTGGTTCGTCCAGTAGACAATGAAGCGGGCCGGACTTCATGTCTTCAAGGTAAGGAAGGCGTCTTACCGAACCGATAAACAGAACACGGTGGCAAAATCCCGCACCAGAAAGTTGTACCGCGAGTGTTTGGTGCAGCCGAAATACATCGTAATGGACGACGAGACGTACATTAATGAGGATGCCAAGCAGATCCCCGGCCTGGAGTTTTACGTCGGTAAGTCCCGCCTGGATGTTCCGGAGAAGTTCCGGAAGAAGAAGGTCGACACATTTGCCAAGAAGTACTTAGTGTGGCAGGCTATCTGTGGGTTCGGCAAATTCAGCAAGCCGTACATAACGACCGGCACCATCAACGGCCAAATATATAAAGAAGAATGCCTCCAGAAGCGCGTGTTTTTATTAATTCCCTGACAGATTCAAAAACATCCGAGTTAAAATTATTTTTTGGTGATCATTTTTGTCGGTTGCATTTTTTTTTCGAGTACAGTCTTTATTCAGAACTAATTAAGGATCTACAAACGCGGTCAAAATTGGAAGAATTCGTGGAATGAATTCTATGCCCAGCCACTATAGCACTTTTATGGTAGATGTCATGAAAAATGCTATAATATTTTTTCTTGCATGTCTGTTTAAGACATAATTTCGATTGGAAATAACATTTTCGGGTTATGATTTGTTGAAAAATATGGAATTCGCCATTTTGATTTTTTTTTTACGAATTTGAGCTCGAATGTGAATGATTGACTAAAATAAACAGGGTGGCTACTCACTTTGCTAAATAAAATTCCCTGAGTTATCCAGGCTGTTACAGAATTTCAAAGAAAAATTTCCAGTATTTTGAAAAGGCTATTTTTAATGCGTTAAAAATATGCTATTTTGGACAAAACAATAAATGAAACGTCAAAACCGTGTTCACGAAAATGTGAGAACATATTTAGGAACGTTCCGTGTTTTTAATGGAAGATTCAAGAACATCAAGAAAATGCAGAGATTTCAGCGAAGATTACAGAACATCAAGACAGTCCCATTAATTTCAAGAAAATTTTGAATATTTTTAGGAAGTTCTGAAATCTCAGAAAACATATCCAGAGTATATCAAAGCAGATGCGATTTTTTTTAGGTAGTTTCATTATATTAAGGGGAGTTCCGAGTACTTCGAGGATCATCGGAGAACTTCGAAGCAGTCCCGTTAAGTTCAGGAAAATTGCAAATTTCAAAGGAGTTTCGAGCAATTATGGGATATTCCGGCAATTATCGGATTTTCAGCATAGTTTCCAGAACAGTAGATAATTTAGGGAACTACAGGGAATCACCGAAAACTTAAGGAAATTCCATAGAAGTTCCGGGAGATTGAGGGTTTGTTACGCGAGCTTCAAAGAAGATTTAAAAGCTTCTGAAAAATTACGAAAAGTTCAAGGAAGACCTAGGAACTTCATAGCAATTAAATTAACTGCAGAATAGTGGGAACTGTTATAAAATTCTAATGAATTCAGGGCATTCTAAGATGTTGAAAAATTAGTATCGAAAATTTATGGGCAGTTCCATGAACTTCTGAAAAATTTAGAGAACTTCATTGAAAATCTAAGAACGACATAAATTCTTTCATTATGATTTCAGTAAATCTCAAATCTTATAAGGCAGTGGCAAACTAAATTGTCAACAACAATCCATATTTTTCCGTACACTTGTAATATCTTTTCAACATCCGTTTTAACTGGATAAAACTTCTAACATTTGGCAACACTCCTTATTTTGAGGCACTACAAATGTAAAATGAGAATTTGACAGCAATTTTATTGTCAACAAACAGCCATTGTTGGTACAATCAAAATAAAACGGTTGTACCTTTGTTCGTACTGAATGTATTTTTATAAAATTGAAGCCAAATGAAAGATCTCTTTTTTTATCATAAAAAAGCACAATTTCAGCTCACTAGCTTCCCGTTCAATTCTCTGTCAAATGAGCAAACGACTTTGCACGAGCCCCATCAATTTTGATGAAACTTTCAACATGTTTTCAGTATGGGAGATTATGATTTTTTCACAGATCACGAGACCATTTTGACTCAAGACTAATTTTTGAAAAGGTGTGTTTTCACATATGAATTTTTCAAAAAAATCATATTCTAAAACCGTTTATTGTATCACAATTGTGTCTGAGAAGAAGTTGTAGAGAATTGATTGTGTGTGTGTGTGTGTACAATCTAACCCCCACTGTCCGGCAGTGTTATTATGGAAGAAAACTGCTTTTTATTACCCTTAAATTAAAGCAGGTTTAGTCCGGGAGTTAGAAGGTGTTAGCTCTATTGCAGCTCCAGTGACCCATTTCAGAATGCCTGGTAATTCACGACCACTCCGAGGTCACTTTTACTTACAATAAGCCCCGCATGTTCACTCTACCTTTATCAAATGGATAATGGTATCATAAACACACTTCCAGATTCAAAAAATATTATTTCCAAATCTGGCACGTATATAGTTTTGAAATTTGTTCAACTGTATTAAATCAATTTGAATGGACATTTCTTATCAATTTTGTTTCGAATACCTCTTGATTCATCTGCTGGCAGCACTTACTGGCACTTACCGGCAACCAACTCATTTGCCCGCAAATGCAACAACGCCTAAATCTCAAAGCTCTCCGAACGTCCCCTCGAAAATGCAATCGAGATATGTATAAGAACAATCTTCAACTGGAACGTACTCACCAAATCAATACATCCGGGAGCAAATTCCCGATGCTTATTTTTCTCTCGCAAACTCGTCGTCGTCGAACGGCAAAAAAAAGGAAACTCGTTGAGCAACTTTGTGACACGGAATTTTCACTGAACATAAACCGCGAATTCACGAATTTCACCACATCCAACTGCGAAACACGTTCAGAAGCACTTCTGGCACAATTTCGATCAATTTCTTTCGAAAACACAACAAAAAAAGTTACAAGCGACCCAACATCAACACCGATTGTGCCGAGCTCTTTCACGCACCTTGCAGCGCGTAAATAAACTGAAATTAAAAATTATCACTCGCGATGCCACTAACAAGAAGTTGTAGAGAATTGATTGGACTTTAAAAAAGTTGATAAGTTTTTGAAAAAAAAAAACAAAAAAAATTAATGTAACAAGTGATATTATTTTCATTCCGGCGCATTTGAAAATTTATAAAGGTTAGTCCAAGAAGGAACAACGTAATTTTAAGGAGAAATACAACATTGATGCTGTGAGGCATTCCTTTGCAACATCGTATGGTAAGGGATCGTGTGATGCAATTGGCGGCACATTCAAACGACATCCCAAACGTTGTATCATTGGGCTAAGGTAATCGCAGATTTTTTTTAAAAAAATCGTACGTTGGAATAAAAAAAAATCACATTATTTTCTTCAAAAACTTAACATTTTTTTTTTCAGTGTATAGTTTTTCCCTTTAAACTCCAATCCTCTACAACTTTGATTAAATAATCAGTTTGAGAGCTAGAATTTTTAGAAAAAATCGGATGTGAAAACACTAAGGCCCTTTTCAAGAATTAGTCTTGAGTCAAAATGGTCTCGTGATCTGTGGAAAAAATCGCAATCCCCAATGCTGAAAACATGTTGAATGTTCCATTCAGATCGGAAAGAGTCGTGCCAGATTTAGACTGTTCTGGCAGGTCTCACTCATTTGAGAAAAAAAAGATTCTCCAATAAGAAGAGATTTACTAAAATTGCTCAAGCTGCCGCCAGACCCAAT